GATCCCTACTTTCGGTTAAAATTTTAATTTCTTTTTCCTATTTACTTGTTCAGTTTTATATGTCCACGGAATGGACACAACATCTATAAACTTTCAGTATAGCCATATCCCTAGTAGCAATAACTTTTACAATAATTAAAACCATAATCACAAATTTATAAAATTTAAACCTTACTTTGGTCTACAGATAAGTGTATAATGCTGCCAAAGTAGGGATTAAATTTTATAAATTTGTGATTGTAGGTTTAATTCTTGTTTCATTACTTTTTGTAGCAGGATCCCTACTTCATTTTAAAATTTATAATTTTTTAATACTTTTATTTGTTTACTTTTTATGTTATACTTGTATAAAGTATATACTTTACCTTTAGAAACTGCCACATGTCTATCCATCGATATGTAGCACCATCCATTGGGTTGAAAAAATATTTAAGTACGTGCATGATATGTTGACCATTTATATTGTACCTGTATATACATGAATTTTTATTTGAATATCAAAAGTGGATACCCACAGACCAGTAAAGTAAACTGTATAAATATTTTAGTGATAGTCTGAGCTGTCTATGAGTTAGCCCCGCTGACGTGATCAGGTAGGTAGGTAGTAGACGAAAAAGTTGCTGTTTTAGAAATTTTTGAATTATTATATTGGAAGTGTTAGCAACCTTTTTAGCATTTTGTTAGTATATATGAGCATAGTATATTGTAACCAATATATGAATGGTCGTTTCTTTTGCTTAGGAATTTGATAGGGTGGTTTTCGCCACGTGAAATATTTGGAATTCTTGTCGATCACTATTATTAAGTACTACCATACATAAAATAATTATTTTTGTGTATTGCAGAATACAATGTGTCATATAAATAAAAGTACTTATAAATAATAATTCACCAAAGTTTTTTGTTTGACTGTTACAAAAAAAACTTTATCCTATCTAATGTTCTGTTTTCTCATAAATGTAAGAGCACTTCCAGAGCTTCAAGTTTGATGTGTAAGTAGATGTTTTATCTCCTCCATTGATGCAGGGCCAATGTTCATGAATAAGTTTGTAGAGATTGATGTATTATACCTAGTTTTAAAATACAATATTTTATCTACTGGACTATTGACGTTTCTGTAGACAGTTTCTTGTTGAGTACTTCAAATGCTGTTGTTAAGATTTCTAACTTGTTTGATATTAATCATTCACTAGTTGACAAAATCGAACTTTTGTAAAGTTATGCATGCTGATTCCAAGTCTGTTTTCAGTTTACTTCTAGCACATTTAGTTATCTAAATATGACTGGTATTAATTTCAGCACAATTTAGGTAATAATCACATATTAAACTAGTTAACATTACAACTTTTTTCAGTTTTTAGTATAATTCCCATAAATTTTATACACACCATACACTTAGTTTAAGTTATACAGTACACACTCATGAAAAAATAAATCTACAACAACTTAAAAATTTCACGAGTACGATTTTATTTTGTAAATTTTGTCCAGATTGTCACAGTACAACATCCAGCAGTAGTCTGCCAGGATACTTTCATCCAAGAAACCTTGTTAGTGATTTTCCATTGCCTGAATGTCTTGATAGAGGCGCCCCCCCCCCCCCCTCTCACAGCTCGTCACTCAGTGTGTTAAGGTTTGGGGAAAGAAATCTAGATGAGAATGTGAAAAATGTAATTTCAAGGACATGCAACAGCCCATTTTTTTAAATGCATCGAGTAGTTTCTGGACTCCATCTTTGTATGCGGGAGACTTGTGGTTACCCAAGAAATTTCCACAAATCCATTTGAAAGCCTGCTATGCTTTTAGTTCTAAGACATTGAGGCTTTCTTCAAAGCCTTCATCCTGCAGAACCTCCCTGATTTGGGGCCCCACAAAGATCCCCTCCTTCAATTTCATATCACTGATGTTTGGAAATTTCTCAACAAGGTATTGAAACCCTCTAAAATTCATCTTACCCATTGCCATCACAAAATTCTTCAAATAAAGGAACACACTGGACACTACTCGTTTCTGGCTCGTATATGCTTCTTTGATGCCAGCCACGTCTGATGTAATGATCCGTGGTAGCACGGATGTCCAATAGGCATAGGACACAACAGTATTTCGTGAACCCTCCATGCGTGCCCATTAACATACCAAAGACTTTGAGATCACCATAGATATTTCATTGATAGTGCTGTATTGGATTTTTTGATTAATATATTCATGTTATTGTATGTCTCCTTTAAATGAACGGGGTGGGCGATTTAGATGCATGGCTTTAAGTTCCCGTTATACATGGTTATTGTTTGATTCATTGCAAAATATTATTGGCTAAAAAACATAGTTCTCTTAATATTATGGTAATTATAATTAAGGCAATAACCTTTCAAATTTGATCGGTCTCATCATGAAAACTTGACATGCTAGAGGAAAACCAGAAACATATTTGGAATCAATGTCCCAAGAGCTATCCAGCTCATCTATAATTATATCTGATGGAAACGACTTGTTGGCCAGTGAATTATTATATGGGTAACAGAACTTAGACGAACAATCTTGACACTACGTTAGGCCTAAAATGTATGTATTTAATGCATCAGTAAAAATAAATTATGTTCGAAATCACTTAAGTTGAGAAAATGACATCATTTCTTGTTACTGCTGTTCTTCTAAGTCATGTACAGTGTCACTTTGTAAAGAAACTTTGTAGTGACATTTGACTGGCCAGGTGATATATATTTTCAGCATTTGCTCTATGTATTTAGCTTTAAATGATCAGACCTAAATCCTTCTGGTGTTTCTGTGATTATACCAACTGTAAAGCTGATGGAAGTTATATATACAAACAATGTGAAAGTTGCTCTGAGTGTGAAAAGTAGCTTATTTTCTTTTGAAATGTTTTTGAGGTAAAAGTCAGTTTGAAATATGGATCAGATATTCAGTGGTGCTGATGTTAAAGGTTTTTTGATTCTTTATAACGTAAGATATATTATCTCCGTAGCTCTGTGTTAATCATGGAGATCAGATAAGTCACACATGACCAACATACTACACAGAATAATAATAATAACTTGTTATATCAGTTACCAGGAATATCAGTAATAGGCTAACATATCACCGTACAAACTTTTACTTTGAGCTGTATTATGAAATAGCAGAGAAAATACTATTTGTTATGACTTCTAAAAGGAAGATAAGAACATATTTAGTGGGTTTAATAGAATACAAAATAATATTATGATACCATTCTTGTTACCTATTAATTCATCAGAGCTACCTGGTGCTAAGCAACTGAAGTTACATATGGTGATTCTTTGTTAATCAGTTTGCATGAAATTTGCTCTGAAACAATTTTTCTTATGTGTTTATATTGCGAGTAGATGTTATCTTTTATAGAATCGTATTTTTCTGATGTAAAATAAAATGTTTTAAGCATACATTTTAATTAGACTGTTATATGATTTGCAAAAGCTGTTAAGTGTTTTAAAACGATGATTACTCAGTTGTTAAAATTGATGTATAATCAGAGTCAAACTTTCTTTTAAAAGGATACCAACATTAGATAAAATTTAATATTCATAGTTATATAACTGACATCTTGTTTGTAATTTTTTTCCTTCTGTTTTATTTAATAGCCCTGCTCACTCAAGAAAGTCTTCCAGCTCTGTACCATGACTGATTGGGTTCTAATGCTGTTGAAAGTTGATTTTAGTTACTGGTATTTTTAAAGTTCAACTTAGCTTGACTATATATATATTACAAATTTGTTTTATTATTTTTCCTAATTAGAAAAGAAAATTTTGCAATATCACCAAATGCAAGTAGTCTAGTTACAATATTCAACATGCCAACAACAAACAATTCAGGGTTAGTAGTATAAAACAGTGGTTCTCAACTCTTTTTTTGTTTTTAGACCACTTGAATTTTTTTTATCTCAGTGGATTGTAAATGCATCTATATACTATGTTTCTGTAACTATGCAGCTTTTCCACTGACTACATGAAAGGAGCCCATGTACCACAGATTGAGAACCAGTGTTACAAAGATTTTAACTTTCTTTTAAAGCTGGTGATTTTATGTTATTGAAAAGAATTACACTTCAAACTTTTAGTTCTATGTGTAAACTGTTTATTGTTAATTAAACATCAGGCAGCTTTTGTTTTGTTTTTTCACAATACTAAATGATAAGCATAAAGACTACAAAGAAGGAACTAAATTTTGTAAGTTCTAGTCAGAACGAAAGGAAGGGGGGCTGTATAAGGTATTCAAAATGAACCCATTCTATATGTTTTAAATTATAAAATAGTTATTTATTATAATATACCTAACCCAAGTTTTAACACTGTGTAGAGATTGATTTGTTTTATACCTGTTTTATATAATGCTCAGGGTAGAGGTTGGCTCTGTGGTAGATCTCTGGATTTCAGAGCTGGTGAGCTAGGTTCGAATATGTGCAAAACCAAAAAATATTCCTTGCACTTTACATTGTGGGTGCATTATAAGAGTGACAGTTAATCCCTTAACATGGATGGTAGTATACTGCTGACCCTCTTGTCAGTAGTTCAAAGTTATAGACAGTGGCAGATAGCCTTAGAAACTTTAGAAGTGCAGATATAATGTTCAGTTCAAGTTCTATTGTTTCATTATTAAATCATTCTTGAAACAGCCTATATGTAGATTGTTCAGAGTATGATCACAAAAACTTATATTAGCTATAACGGACTGGAAGTGACTTCTATTTTTTATAATCATAGTAACAGTATTTTAAAATTGTTGATAAAATTTCTAATTTGATGGATTATCATTACTGATATTGTAATGTATTTCATTACCTTTATTCATATTTGTATTTTTTAGAAGTACAGTTTTTAAAGGTTTCAATTTGTGGGATTATCATTATTAACACAAGTAATATATTGGTTTACCATTGTTTAAATTTCTGATCTTTTTATTAGTATTGTTGAAATGTCATATTGATAGCCCAGTGTTGCCTGAAACCAAATATTGAGGTTGTTGTAATGGGACTAACATTGTTGAAATGGTGACAAACAATTTATAACACTGCCAAAGTTTATATGTGTAAATGGTTACAACCATTAAATACTTAGTGTACATTTTTCAATTTCTGAAGGAAAAATGTGAAAATAAAAAATATTTATTCTGTAGTTAACTTGAATATTTGCTATGTTTTATTATAAGAGAAATATTGTTTTCTAAATACCTTTATGAATATTAGATATGAGGACTGTTTAGCCATACTAATATATTTATCAGAATAATTCAAAATACCATGCTTCTAATTATAGTATTTTGGCACTTTTGTATAAAGTTAAAATCATAAATATGATGTTGTAACGTCGAAACATGTAGAGTCGTCAACTTTTTGAAGGCCATAGATAGGCCTAAATAAAATGTTGTTAATTGTGTACCAGTTTAACGTTGAATATTATTTATGAATTTTACCATGCTTCTGTTCAGCATTAAGATATTTCTCTTTGAACCTGCATGTAAAGGAATGTGTGACTAAGAAAATGGCTTAGTTTGTGGTGCAAAACTGAAAGTTTCAACATTCTGTTACGCCTCCGTTCGTTAGTTAATTTTCCGTAAATTTCGTTCCGAAGAAACTTTAGCGACACAAGTCCTTTCTTAAATAAAACTGGTTTATTCTTTCTGAATACAACTTTGCAATATATTTAATTTCCACAGTTGTGCTATAACAAACGCTATAATTCACAACGAACGTCTCACGTGCTCAACTCAACAATACTCTGTCCGCAGTTCAATTACACATTACCTCCCCTTCACTTATTGGCCGTCTTATATATACAAGACTACCCCATATCTAGTAGTATCCCGACGCTTCATGAACATTCTAGAAGCGCGTAGCGTGTTACTAGCGTCACGTGACCTCTGCTGTCGTAACACTGCCCCTTCCTTAGTATTGTTCGTCCCGAACAATAGCCACTTCCATTAAATCAATAAACAATAACTTAATTAAATGTACAGAATTTACAAACACAAATTACAATTCAACAAACTTCCCGTAACTTTCTCGGTATAAGCGTTTGCCAGGTCGTCACTTTCCCATCTGCAGTTTCCCATTTCCAGAGAAGAATACCATCTTCAAGCTTCAACTGGTCCCATTGTGCCCAATAGTTCTTTGTCACAGGGCTTAGACTAGACACCTTCTCCCAAGCAGGGCGCAAAACAC